TATGCAAATTAATGCCCAATAGTATAATTTATTATCCAAAAATATACAACTTGAAAAGTGTTTGGATATTACAAAGAGAAAATCAAATAATAGCACTTTGCAACAGACTAAATAATCCTGGAACAATAGGAATCATAACTATTATTAGACTCAAACAAGCACAAATAAAAAATTGGAAACTACTCAATTTATTAATCTGTAAATCTTTAAACTATCTAACAGACAAAGAAAACTTCTTACTACAAGTGATCAAAATTGCTAAAGATATGGAAATAATATTTCATAATTGGAAATGTCAAGATATCTTTGAATAGAAAAAGGAAAACTTTTGGATCGGAGAATATCTAGTACTAGAAGAATAGAAAAAAGCCATACTATCACTTAGAAACAATTAGCTGATATATCTAGATCAGCTAATCGATCAAGAAACTACAAAAATAAAAGACTGGTGAATGCTTTAGCTTCTACAAGATACAAGCAAAGGATCTATATCAGAATGGTTTCAAATTATAGCAAAAATCTTCCAGAAGAACAACTAAAGCAGCTTATAAGGTCTAGAAGAGAAAATTATATGAAATGGAAATCAGAATATTTAAAAATAGACCCTAATCAAGACAAGTAGAAAAAATTATAAATAGTGATAAGAAATAAAAGAAATCAAGTAACTTGGGGGAAATTAAGATAAGAAAAAAAGGGAAATGTCACAATAGTAGAGCACTTTACTAATTATAGCTTCAACAATGATCAGGAAACCAATATACAAAAATGTTTGGGATATTCGGAAGACATAATACTAAATAGCAACTATATTCTTGAAAGAGAAATATGAGAAATATATGTAATACCATACCTCAATATAAGAAAGTCCACTAGAAGAATACGAGACCTAAAAATTCTCAACTTCAAATTAGCACTTGAAAAAAGCATCAAATAAGTGATTTATAACCAAAGCCCTTTAAAGATTCAAAATTATAAAGTAAATTATGTGGATATTGAAACTTGAGAATAAACTATTATTAAAAAACATATTAGAGAAGGAGCATATCAAGATTACTTAATAGATATACTCCAACATAACCTTGGATTTAAAGAAACCCTAATTTTCTATTTTGATAGATCACTTATTAATTATGTAAAAGAAGATATGAAGATAGGAGTAGCTTGGATCAAAATAGAAAAAGAAAGAAAAGAAAGCAAATTCCAAACAGAAGTAAACAATTGACCCTTATCTATAAAAGCAAAATTGGTAGCAATTATAATAATACTTCTGGTAGCTCCAATTGAAAGCATGATAGAAATCTTTACAGATAATCAAGCATATATTTCCAAGTGGAAATCCTTAGAAAAAGGAGATTCAAAAAGGATATACAAGAGATGGCTCAAGGAAAAAAATTGGTTCCTATGGGCATATATGGTAGAGCTAATAAAAAAGATAAATATAGATCTAAAGCTTACAAAAGTCAAGGCATATTCAAATGACTCTTATAATGAAGAAGTAGATATCTTAGCTAAGGAAGCCCTAAAATTTCTACCAATCAAATGAAAAGATTTCCCTTTATATAAAATTATAACTAAAATCAAGTGACAAGGAACAATTCTAGATGATCCAATTAGGCAGTTTCTTAAAAATATTAATAATAATATAGCAGCCTATCAGTGGATACAAAAAAACAAAACAAAGAAAAAATGAAGTCATCAGATTTCAGAATATCAAGCTTACACATGAGATCTAGTATAGGAAAGGATTAAGAATGGACATATATGAAATATATCTTTTAAACAATCCCAACAAAAAAGCTTTCTTATTAGACTGACTAATTATGAGCTACCCACCTTAAATAAGTTGACTGTAAGAAGACTACTTTATACAAGCAAGTAAAATGTATCACATATAGTCAACAAGATAAAACTATAAAACACTTACTAGAATGTTCAGTTTATAAAGATCAACTATAAGAGGCATGGAACAAAGGAGTAGATGGAATTATTAGAAACTTTAAAGAGCTATTGTAGGAAAGAAAGAGAGAGACTGAAGAAAAAAATTCCAGGCTATGTATTAATGACCATGAAGAAATAGGAGAGTTTAACAAGTGGATTGTTAAAGTAGTGAAACAGACTTCTGGAACAAGTTAAAATATACTAAGTTTCTATACTAGCTTTATAAGAACCAATCTTATTTTAGAAGTGATAGATCTAAAATATTATGGTAAACATATAGGAAAAACAACAAGAAAGTGGATATTAAAAATGCAAAAAAGAGTTTGCAACCAAATTCAAAAAGAAGTCTGGAACAAGAGATATGAAAAGATAATCGAATGGGAATGAATACAATAAATTAGTAAAAAAGACAAGACAAAAAGACCTCCTTGTCTATCAGGTCAGAAAACTATACTCTCGAAGAAAAGGAATCCACTATCTGAAGAAAAAAACCTTGAAGATGAAAGCTTTTGAGAAATTTTAACAAGAAGAGTAAAGTATGAAATTAAATGGTTGGGTTTTAAACTCTGTTAGAACCTTACAGAGTAATCTGCAGTAGTGATCTGCAAGTAATAAAGTTAACAGTTGAAAGGATCTTTACCTGAATTGATAATGGAATGATAAATTACTCTCGAAGTTGCACTTAAAGTTTTAAAAATTCTTAAAATAGAGATGAGTGAGTTAGGTAGAGATTTAACTTTAGTGATATATCTTTAATATAAAGTATATACATATTTAATAAAGCATATATATCTAGCCTGATAGAGGGTTAAAAAAAAAAATTCTATAATAAAATTTTATTTATAAAATATGTTAAAAAAACAAATATCTTAAAAAACTCTTTCCACTGATCCTCTGATCACACATAAAAAGATGTTCGCAAGAAGTTTTTATACTTTCTTGCTAATAAAGTCTTAATACTTTCCTTAAAACAACTTGAAGTATGACTTCAAGAGTCACTTCTATCCTTCCCCTATTATTTACAAACTTTTTACTCAAAAACTTAACTCCTAGTGACTAAGAAAAGTCAAGCAATACCTTTGATACCAATGGCAAGAAAGTTCCCAAAGAAAGAAAAATTGACTGTGAAGTACCTGAAGGCCTATTTAACCTTTGAAGCGAGAGATATATAGGGGTTTTTTATGACAAAAGGACTTATTTTTTTCCTTCTAGTCACTTGTAAATCTTTTAGAGCTATCACTTTCATGGTTTTCTGAGGAATTTTATCTATCTCAATTTGACTCTAAATTTTTGATAGCACAAATCCTCATCAAAGGTTATTGGTTGACACGAAATACAGCAATTTTTGGAATATAAACAAGCACCTATTAGTCACACTCACGTGTCTCAATACATCATTGATGATATAGAAAAGAAAGTTCTAGAAAAAGTGTCCCTTCCAATCATGTATATTCAACCTTCAGGAAACAATTATAATACCGAAAGGCGAGCGGTAGATATGAAAAGAAGATTCAATTCCCATCTTTCATTAAGTTCCTCAAGTGATGAAAAGACTTTCTTGAACAAAAGTTGAGATCTCCAAGCTTTTATTCTGGTTAGGCAAAGTTCTTGAAAAGATTTCTTTATTCCAGTCAAACAAACTCTTCCATAATATGGCACTGGCCTTAACAGCGATAAGTAAATCTATACATTGGAAGAAGAATAAGTTCCTCAAATGTTTTTCTTGAAGTCACTTTCAGGAATAGCTAAGTTCCTTAAATATCATAAAACTCAAAGAATATCTCAATCAGGCAAATCCCTTTCGAGAGGAAACTGTGAAATGGAGCAAGAACCTTTTGAAAGGCTTTGATTTGCATTCCCCTCTCTTTTTTTTTCCCAGTGCCAACTTTAGCAATTCATTATTTTTTGGGATAATCTACAGTGACAAACTGTTGATAATGATCCTGGTTGACTTAGAGACACTATTGCCAAGCTACTAGGAAAGTGAAATATTGTTCCTTAAATCTGACTTAGAGTACCTAGTTTAGATTTAGTTTTGTTTAATCCGAACTAGCTTAGTGGACTCCTCATATTTTTTAAGTAGTATAATCATTTAACTAATAATGTACAATGACAAGTTAGTTGCTTTGTGAAAGTCTGTATAATATTTAGGTATTTCTCAATATCTCAATAAAGACACGCCATTGCGGCATGATTGCGGGTTAAAAAAAAAAAAAAAAACAAATATCTTTAATCTAATCTAATCTTGATAATTTAAAAGAAAATTTACAGTATATACGGTTTTATTTGACTCTAATAAAAGGATTTTTGCTCAGGTGATTAGATCTACGGAACCGGAATCAATAATCCCACACGTGTTTGTCAACTGGCTGACCTTTTTTGAAACGTCAATACAATATTATCTAAAAAAAAACTGCTGACTATTGATTTTGTAACATCGCTCTTTTCCGATTTTGCTGCATATCGAATTTTTTTTTAAAAAAAAAAAAACCAATAAAATAGTGGTCAGTTGACGCGACCTTTTTTGGTTTATAGGTTATAACGTTTTTTTTTTTTGCATATATATAAAGCGCCTCACTTTACATATTTTTCTTTATATTTCATATTTGGATAACATAGACTCATCATTGTTCTATTATACACTCATTCAAGCATTTATAGATTTTCTAAATACTCTTTAGAAGTTTTATTAATTTGGCAAGCCTATCTAAACTGATTTCTCGAATTTCTACTGAAAGGTATTAATATATAAAATAATGACACAAGTCACAGGTAATCCAATCATCTCTTTTATTAATCATGTAAATACTTTAGCTCGACTTTGTTTTAAACTCCCTTTCCCTTCTTACGAGTAGAGTCACCATATCAAGCCGAAAAACATCTTCATTTGAATGGAATTTCCAATGGCTTAAAAGATTACCCGAAGTGAGTGCGAAGTGTTTATTTTAATATGAGTTTTTTTTACTCAACTACCAGTCGACTTTGTTATTGATATATAGCCTTTCTAAAAAGACCGATTAACAGTAATTATTCTTATTATTTTTCTTTTCATTATCAGTGAGAATGAGCAAGATTTGCTAAAAAATGATACCGTTTTTTTGACCGGGTTAAATCGGCTAAGAGACGATCGATCAATTTCTAATGAAACAAATGAATCAGATGGCACTCTGGTAACGACCACTCATCGTTTGGACCTCGCCAGATTTTCGACCGAGTCTCTACATAGTTATAGATTTTTTGCAAGTGATGCATCGATGCTGGAAAATAGGCAGAACATCCTTCGTCGTTCGATAGAATTTATGAAGAGCAAGATAAAAGGATGTGTTCAGAACGCATTATTTCCCTCTGTGGTACCCACAAAAGATATCATACTTCCACAGGATTTCGACGGTGATAATGATTCTGGCACGTCTCGTAAATTTAAACGAACGTTAACAGATCTCCCTATTTCCTCATTGTATACATCTGTAAATCCTCCTTCAACTCTGCATTCACCAACAAGATTCACTCCGCAAAATCAAGCTATCATCACCACCGATAATCAAAGCAACATATTAAATGTAAATGACATTGCTTGCTTGATATTTGGTTATTCACGGATTGAAATATTGAGCATCAAAGCATTAGACTTGATTGCTAGATCGTTTAGAGAAAAGCAAGCAAAATCTCTTGCCGCGAGGCCTCACGATGATCATGGGAGTTGCGAAGCTGTATTGGCATGCGGCAAAGTCGTATGTATTATTAATTTTCCATCATTCCATGTCCCTTACAGAATTTTTATCATACATTTATATTTGTTATTTATGTAGATACCTATACAAAGGAAAAATGATGAAATTTCTGCCGCCTCACTATGGCTCAAAGCTAAGAAGGATGAATTTGGGAAATCTATTTTTATTTGGATCTTTGAAGAAATAACAGAGTCTATGATGACTGCTGAAATTAATGAAAATGTATCTTTCAGTTCATGTAGTTTGTTCGTCTGTAAATGGTTGTTTGCTTTATTAATTATATGAAACTTTCATACCTCAGGGTACAGTGCTAAAGTCATCTGGTGATGTAAAGGCCTTATATGGATATACATCTGAAGAGATTGTCGGAATACATGTCACTACTTTAATTCCAGCCTTAGAAACTATTCATTTCAATGGAATGGACAATATGAACGTTGATAACATGGCGACTTTAAGTCCTTTTGATTCTCGATTGGACATTGATCAAATAAATAAAACAAAGTTTTATGGAAGTCGGTCAAAGAATGGTGCCAACTTTCCGATAATTGGCAAAATTTCTGTACATATTATTCCCGAAGAGTCTCAAGACGAACCTAATTCAACCATCATCTATAAACTTAAGATTATATCCATACCTACCATCGCTGGTGTTATAACTGCACACTCAACTGGTGTAATTCAATCGTGTAATTCCGATTTTGTGAAATACCTCTTCGGTGTTGGTGCACAAGAGTTGAATGGAAAGCGTCGTATCGAATCTCTGTTACCGCAATTTTCTAGACTTATTGAAGTTATTGGTTCTGAACGACCTCTTGTTGAGGGCGTCGTAATTTCCGAGAATACTTTTCGTCGCGCGGCGGCTGTGTTGACTTCTACAAACTTGGCTCAGAAGGAACTTCCAAATATCGTGTCCACTCAGGGTCCCTCAGGTATAACTGCAGTGCATAGGGATGGTACAGAGTTCGACGTGGACATTCAAATGCGTGTGGTTGAATCATCAGATGAACCGCTACATGCATTATGGATCACTTATGACCGTAGTATCAATCTTGCGAAGGA